TTMAWWKWAAARRAARRAAAAAAAAGTCACAATGAACAGAACAATAATAATAATAGTRATGAATACGAACGAGCAATGTCGCAAAGCAAAAAGAAACGAAACGGAAACATATCAGAGTGTCTTCTTCATTCATTTTCGCAACGAAAGAAGAAAAATAAATTGAAGATCGATTTAACACTGACAATAATAARAGAAAAAATGGAAAGGCTGGAAAGGTGGAATATCAAGAAGTGCTCGAACTATAAGACTTTTTCCAGAATCTTCACCAGTGATGATATAAACCTTGACAAGTAGACAGCACAGTCATTAATTGTTTATCAAGTGGCATTCCATTAACCAAATTGCTAACGACATTGATAGACTTTTTGACAACCCTTCGTTGGTAATAAAAAACTCAATTGGATGAGTTACACTTGGTTAAACAACGTGACAAGGCGAAGTGATATGCATAATCACATGTAATTCTCTTGATCTCTCAGTCTCGTTCGAAATTCAAGAGATCATTTTTTTGTGCTCAATACAAAGTTAGGTTGCGTGATGCATTAAAATCGATAGGCTATGTATATGATGACGTCATTTTGTATGACGCCAAATGAGCGCCAATTTGAGCGTAGCGCGCATGGCAAGTGAGAATTAACCTTTCTTCTATGGTATGGTATGGAGTCACAACATGATTTTGCCAAAGGAAAAACACGCATGCATGCAAATTCAATTTCCGCGCGTAAAAATTCCCTCTCGTCTCCCTCCTTACTTTAAAACATCTGGACTCCCGAGGATGGGCGAGTTAGAAGGAAACTCTTAAGTCTTGGATATGCTAATTTTCTGACAAGAACACTCTACGCTACGTGAGATTCGAAGGTACATCATGACATCGTACTGTACACACAGTGTTTCTCTGCGTGAGACAATACGAGATTTCATGAAACTAATTGTTAGTGAGTAATACTTCAGAAGAAACGGAGGAAATCACCCCCAAGACTTTTGAAATGATTAAGTCGCGCTAGTGTAGCTATTTCAAGTAACTTTTTCACGGCTGAAAGGAAACAACTTTGTCGTTGTCATGGTAATGTTGGTCTTGCGCGGAAATTGCCATCATTCCGTTTCATTAAAGTTCATATYAGGAATGGTTTTTATGATAGCTTTTGAATGTATCAAAAACTAGCCCTTCAGACTAGTATGTACATTTGCAAGTTAAAATGGCGCTTTTTGTGAAGTTTTTTTTCAGTAATCGTTTTCTATTAGGCTTGTGTATTATTATGAAAATCAAAGAGGAAGAATCTAGAAAAGTACGCTTTAGATTAGATTAGTGCATTATATATAATTAGTCGTAGGGATAACAATTACTAGAAATTGTTTCTAATGATTGAGCRGGTCTTATAGTCCATAAAATTCTTCATAGCCGTCTGGCCGGTTAGCTTCGTTAAAATGGAAAGCGCTGCATGGCTCTCRCACTGGAGCTCTATTAAAACAGGTCCCAAAACCGTCCCTTGAGGAACAAATCCCATTTCCTTGAATCAACACTGAATAAAGACAATACCTGAAAGAGGAAAGCCTGATAAAGGTGCCAGTCTTTAATAGATAGTTGCTTAATTACTTTCCTTATTACTTTGTTCACTTTATTACTCAAGCCATTGATTAGGCAATGTTTACTTATGCTAAATGAGTTTCTGASGACTTTCTTTTCCATCCGTCAACATTAACCATTGAGGATTTGTGGTAAAAAAACTTGCAATTAAAAATTATTCTTGATAAAACAATAGATTCTGTAGAAAGACGGGGAAATATAGGAAATTCCGTGCTGTTTTTGAAATATTGGATTTTGAGTACGCTCTATGCCAATAGATCATCTCGACGCCAACGCTGTTTGCACAAATAAAAACATTTTCAACGTTTATCAATAAAGCTGTGTGCCAATGTATGCCCCAATTATTATCGGCTCGTGCAATTAGCCAGACATTTATTGTATGGCTAAAGGATTGAAAAATTAATTAAGTCAGGAAATAAGGGCGAATAGAAATCTAGAATCCTCACTATAATCGAGCGAGGAAAATGTCACGAATCTATATTTAACTGCCGCCATTTTGTATATGGAAGATTGCTGGCCTGGTTGCCCAGCTATGTTGGTTTTCTGCRAAGACGATCATTACATTATCATGTATGTTATTATCACGTTCCCTAGATATGCGTGAAGAATAATTCAAATACTCTCACGCAAAGATGACACGCACATGCGATCTTTAAATGCTAAATTTAAATTTTTAATATTTATTTAAATGGTAAAAAATCGCAATAAAAAACGTGTATTCTCAGAGYAGAGTAAGCCACAATGCATCTGGTTTAGCTATTGAAAACGATTCTCTCACAGTGACAGTTTTCGTGGGATGTTTGTCTTAGAGTTTTTCAATAGGGTGAATATAGAAGACTGTTTTTTGATAGCTGAGCTATTGTTTTTGATGTCCGCAATGCTTGCATAGTGTGTAAAATTTTAATATATAGGGCAAATTACTAAAAGAACATCCCCTTATATTGTATTCTATGGTTGACGCTATGGCATATTTGGTTTCATATTTGTAAATAAATAAAGCATATTCTCGTTTTATTCATTTAATATACTGATTTTATATACTGATATTCTAGATTTTAGTATCAAAATGAGGTACTTTTTTAAAGTATAACTCAAAGGTTGCAAGTACTATCCGAGGGCCTTATCCGTCTCTCCACAGGCTGTATCTGCCGCATTTTCATTGATATATTTTTTYCAAACTTTGCTATCTTAGTCGAGAGAATATCTTCAAAGTATTCCGACGTATTTCGTCGATTCGTATGCAGTAAATTATAGGATTTACCAAACTGTTTGCCATTAAAATTGACTGAGCGATGATCTTAAAAACAGGAACAGAATCCGTGGACGGYTTTTTCACGGCTGCCATGGCTACTTGCACCAGGTACGGRGAGTAACACAACACAAAAGCTCCAATGAGCAAATACATTGTGTTAATACTCTTTTTGTACCTTGGTATATTGGTACTGATGCTTGGAGTTGCCCATCTCTGTTGAGAGTGTATTTGCAACGTATGTTTACGAACAACCCGGGATATCTTCACAAGAAATACAATATTCACGTCGATGGAAATAAAAAATAAAATAAAAAATATAAGTTTCATAAATAATTGGTTCTCGTATAGAATTCTAAAACTACCAGTAAGAAATCCAAGCACCCAAATACAGCAAAGAGCAATAGTGTACCGTCGATTAGTCACAAAGTTGTTGTATCGYAAGTGGAGGGTAACAGCTAGAAGGCGATCTCCAGTTATGACCATAACGTTRTAAAACGAAGCTACAAGGAGAATAGAGCCAAGTCCAAACGCAGCCCGTCTTACGATTTCACTGTGCTTATTATTCGTCATTATTGTACTCAAAAAGACGCAGTAACACGGTATCAGTACACAGCCTGTTATAAAATCTGTTATGGCCAARCCTAGGACCAGCACGTTTGACGGCGTTCGTATTGTAGGTGTTTTAAGCAAAGTCAAAATAACCAAGAAATTACAAAACGTTGCTAGCAAAGCCACCAAAGCGTTTACCACAACCATGGATAACAGAAAGTTATATTCATGCGCTAGCAAAGGTATTTTTGACGACACGTTCATGTTGTAATACTGAAAACGATGTTGACAGTGCGCTGTTTGGTTTTCTCAAGAAACCTCATGTATAACTTCAGGAAATTCTTGCGCATAGTCTTCAGTTCGCTTGGCATCCAAATGAGGCAACTCTTTCATATGAATCGATCGGGCAGAAAGACCCCTCGCTATCACTTTTTTTCAGCGTGTTTAATAAGAAAAAAAGCAAAATGAAGCCAGCGAGTGGTATCCACAGATAATAGGCATTAATATTAATATAATCTGTTGGCGTCATAGCATCAACTGGAGTTTTATTGAATGAAAATGAATGAAGACATTYGCTTTTCGTTCTCGCTCATAATAGCTATAGTCGAAAATTATTATTTTTTGTCCTGACGCCGGTTACAAATTAGATTTTTTGCAATTACTATTTTTCCAATTGAAGCGGTGCTGTGTTTTTTTTAGTAAATTCATGATGAATGTTCCAAATTTTCTTTTATAATTAAAAATTCAGTTCTTTTATTCGTTTCCATTTGCTGTATTACCAAGTTAATCTCTTGAATGAACAACTGTTTTGTGTGAGAATCAATCTTTGTCTGATGCAAGGACATTCAGCTGTGAATGGTCGGCTGACGTCATACGATTTAATGATATTAAATGCAAAGCGCAAATAGCGTATATAAAGTKGGATTATCCCAGAATTGTGGATAGATATTCATTGGATATATTTTTATCGTTACCTAATGATACAAATATATGTTAATACCATTATCGCCGTYGTCATCAACATCTTATTCATCATTATTACTATTTTTATAGATATCTCCATGGTAATTCATCGTATATATGTCAGCTAAATATCTACTTTTAAAGGTTATTTTGGTGGAATGAAATCTTTAATGTTATATCCGTGCCGTACGAGAAATTTTGAATACATGACAAAGCACCGATAAAAATCAATGAACGGCTCGTTTAATCGGGTGGATGTTGTCTGGAACACTCGAAATGCCCAGAGTTTGTTAAATAGTGSTGGGCGATCAAAACTTTTATCGTTTGGCCATGTAACTTGTGCTGTTTATTCCGCAATCGATCCGTTGTTTGCGTGAATTCCRTTTTTTCTTTGTGATATCCGTCATGAAAGTACATAAATACTCCTTTAATTGAAGTTTTTTTCCCTTGTATGACTTAAAAAAATACTTCAGTATAAAGGAACCCGCTCAGTAACTAAAACCTCCTGCTTTTTTACATCAACATTTACACAAGGGATTTGTCACCTATACTTTTATTTGACCTGCTGCTTGCTATACCAGATTGCAAAGTATAACATTYTATTTGATACCGAGACAGGTAATGTCGATGTTGTTTATTTTCTAAGCGCTTTAATGTTATTCACTTTGTCCTGAAGTAATGTTAGAGGAAACAGATGATCAAGGAAAGACCTAAAAACACTCTAGTTTGGATGATTTTTTTTTATAGCACACAATCATACAGGAAAAGCCGATCAGGTTTAAACCCTGGATTCTTCTCTCTTTCAAAATTACGATGATATTTCTCTAATTTTCCTAATGATTAAAACTATTTTTTTTTGCTTGCAAAAATTTTCGGATCCACTTAGACAGAACAGGTGTTGCCGCAATCATTTAACACAACAATTGTGCTTTTTTTAGCATATAAATGAACAACAAACTACATTTTCCTGCAATTAAATTCTTATCGTTGAACTGGACCTGAGCCGAAATAAACAGTTGTCTGTTCATTGGGAAAATGGATGTTTTTAATCGAGGTTTATTAAATTAGTAAGTACCCCACTGTTCCAAGATTGATCGCAATGGATGGATTTGTTTTTGTCATGTAGAGAAGTAGGCTCAGTCTCCAGCCGTCGGGATTTCGTGCGCCCGCGATACTCTCTCCCCTGACGGCTGGGCGCGGGCGCACGAAATCCCGACGGCTGGAGACTGAGCCTAGTAGAGAAGCTGCTGTTAAATTTATGGAACGGCTGATGAAACGGAAGATAGCCGCCAAAAATTTACTATATTTTCAGTTAGGCTGTTGAAAGGTATCTCATTAACTAATAGTATGGTGTGTGTTTCGTTTTGTAAAAAGGTTGTCAGGACAATGGCGATTGAACGACTGAAAGTCACTATGGGGTTTCAGTTTTCTCTCATCTCTCCGTGTGGGATCCCTGTGGTAATGTCCGATTCTAAGTGTGTTGAATAAAATCGTTCTTATAATCAAGAAGTCAATTTCTGTATCCACACAAAAACTTTAAAATCCAGGCAAAATGTTTTAATTGATATCAGATGTAAAACCGGTCCACCAATTTTTTGGGATTTTGGGGATTATGGCCAATCATTTTTGGTTTTTCATTAGTGATTTCCCACCATCAGTTTGGTGACGACCTTTATATTTTTTTACTGCGCTTTCTTTCAGTCTCCTCCTAAGGAGTCTTTTTAAAGCTATGTAGATTAGGAACTATAAAAAAAAGCCAGGAGGAACTATACAGAAAAAAATTCAGGAGAAAAGGTCTATGGCRGAGGTCGAAGGAGGGTCGAGTTCTCACTACTCGGGGCTGTGGCGCACAATTCTCGTTTCATTTTGAATATTCAAAGACACCTTTTTAATATTGACTGCTTTATTAACATCAAAACTGAGCTATAATCCTTGCTTCTACAAAAGCTGGAAGGTTTTCTTTTTATAATCTTTCGGCAAGTTTTGGCTAAAACAAAGGCATGTGAAATGTGTACAATTGCCTGTTAAAAATGATTACTAGAACGCAAGTTAACTAAACTTTTCAGTGCAAGATGTTCTTACAGTGGAGCGTTTAATTTGATACCTTTTATAATATAACAAGCTTTCTAATACCTCTTMATGAAACTGTCCACACAGAAATACTTTGTGAATGGCTCTTTTATTAAAACAGCTAAATATCTTCATCCATATAGCCACGAATTGTATTTTTTGATAGAAATGAATCTTAACTAAGTATTCTTGTGCGGAAGGGACAAGCAAACGCTAAAATAATTATTATATAGCTGTTTACTGTCTACACAGAAATTCTTCCTAAAAAGRCAAAAGACTCCTTTACCAAAACAGCTTCCATAATTGAATATTTGATAAAYTGAGTGAATCTTATGCATTTTTGGGCGGACAAGACGAGTAAACGCTAAAATGAATAGTGCTTATAGTGTGAATGTTTAGTTGCTTTTGTCCAATGATTCAAACGACTGGTTGTTCACAAGACAACTGCACTAAACACTAAAGAAAACCCACGGAAATCTCCACCGTTTTCCTTCTAACATTCACTGTACAAGTATTGAGACTTTATATATATTTTTTTGTTAATTCTGGCTTGTTCTCTATGGCCTCTGGAGCACCGTTTTCAATTCGATATAAAAAATGATACCCCTAAGGCCATGGATATAAAATGCCCTTGGTCACATATATAATTGACTCGGYCTAGTTTGCCAATGCTAAATAACAAACTTATAAGCCGCWRAAAGCATCATTCATGAATTGCAGATGACATTACAGCTGAAATTATTATTGCTGTCTCATGGCYATTCTATGAATGYCCATGCGACAGGAATGAKKAACAYTGATGCAGTATTTATGTGTACATTRCCAACATTATGAAAATTGTTTGATATTTATAATATTACATTAATTAGCGTGAATACTGAGTA